ATAATTTTTTTAATTAAAAAAAGGCCCTAGTCACTTCCGGTTTGAACTGCTGTAATGAACTGTACAAGGGGCTGCTCTTGAAGAACATTTAGAATGTATAACTGGAATACAGTGTGTCTGCCTGGGCATTGATGGGTTTAACCCACTACTTAGGGACCTGCATTGGTTACTGGGGCTGATTGAACAGGATAACCATTTAAGGTGCTCGTTATCCTTTTCAAAGCTCTATATGGCTCCAAACCTAGTTATCTGAGGGACGGCCTTCTCCTGTATTCATATGCCTGTACTACAAGATTGAATAGGATGAACTTCCTCCACGTCCTGTCCCTTTGTCATTGCCATCTGACAAGCCCTCAAAAGTGGGCTTTCTCAATAGCTGCCCCCATTCTTTGAAACCACTTTCCTGGATACATTTCATCAGCCTTGTCCCTCCTGAGGTTTAAGAAAGCTATTAAGACCTATATGTTCCGTCTAGCATAGGAGGAGGGGATTCCTTATTTGGTATTTTGGTTGCTAGTGCCTGAAGTTAGCCTGTTGTTGTTGTTGTTGTTACTATCATCGTTGTTTCTCACTGGTTCTTTTATGTATAATGTGTTCTTTTCTCTCTTCTCTTGTATTTTATAATAGGATTGTTAGCTGCCTGAAGCTTTTCAGGATTGGGTGGCATACAAATAAAGTACATAAATAAATATTGGACCTTGTGAAGCCTTTTTGTTTTGTTGTGAAAACTATTTATCACTTCCATTTAAAACTAAATTGGTAGAAACAGAAAGGAACATTGGCTCTGTGGGAATGAATCTGAAATGTAACAGATTCAAAACAATTTTCTCTATCATTATTTATTTATTTATTTATTTATTTATCATATTTATATTATTTATATAAACTTAATATGTTCATAGATCCTAAGTCATAATTTAGCATTCAGGTATGGTTTGAAATGAATTTTGCTTATAGAAAACTATTTTATATTTCTGAAAATAAAAAAGGATTCCCCCACCACCACCACCAAATGTTCTTCACATGAGAAGTTTGATTGCCCAGTTGCTTACAACAGTCTCTTGTTCTACAGCTATGAAACTACCGTTTTTTAACTAATGGTTCTCTGCCTTCCCTTTTGATTTACTTCATTATTTTTAACTTTTTTTTATTGTATTCCAGTTGGGGTAAAGTAGTAATGTTGCTAAAATATCACAATGCAAATCAACAGTTCAAAACAGTATTGGAAACAATGCACACAAACAACAGATCATACAGTAATAGCTATATGAAATATTTAATGTAACATTTCACAGTTAATTAAAAGTATTTCTAGTTTGTGTTAGGTTTCCAAATAGCCAAACAAAAACTAAAACTGGATATTTGCATAATTTTTCTTTCTTTTTGTAAAACCATAGTCCTACTTCATACAGAAATCATTGTTGATGGCATGGGTGAATTCTAACAGTAAAGTACCAACTTTGCTCTTTTTGGTCATCTAGAACTCTGCATTGGCAGAGTCTAGTCTATTGTCTAGTCATTCTTTGAATAGGTCCTCTTCACTCTTTAGACTAGAATTTAAGAACAAAAGAAATATAGACAATAACCATGGGGAATTTTGTAATATGGCATTTTTAACTTTTTTAAAAATAGTTTCTATAATAAAAAGACTAAACATCTCTTCCTAAATTAATCACACAGATTAAATAAAATGCAATGGAAAATCAGACTTTATTTATGCTTGTTTGGAGAGCACCTCCCTATTCTATCTGGCAGACATTTTTTAGTTCATTCATTTTCATTACTAACATCTCTGTACCTCTCTAACTTCCAATGGCTCAGAGTGGCATATGCATTTTGAAGCTGAATAGGATTTGAAAAGCAGTAATGAGAGCCATGGAAAATGTGCTTTTAGGGAGAGAAACCTTACCATGTATATCTTTAGGCGATTCTAAGATACTTAGTTGTATCCAGGTTATAATCTTTTGAAATTGAAACAAATCATGTAAAGGAAATTGGAATATCCAATTCATGTATGAATGACTTGTCCTAAAGTTGTATCTAGTCCTTGGCCTAGTTGCAAAAGGCCTTTGCAAATAAGTTCAGAACTCTGACAAATAGTCTTTAAATTCCCTAAACTTAACCCAGTAGTCAAAGAGGAAAAGGAGAACAGTATGAGAATGAATGTCAGAAAGAAAGAAAGGGGGAAAAATAAAAAAAGTAGCAACAAGAATGAAACAATAGATTTATCCTGGCCAATTGTGGCTCTGCCCCCACCTACCACTCTAGATTTTGCCTTATTCTTAGATTGTATTGTTTCCTAAGAAGTTCTTTCTATTCCATTCCAACTGCAGGTAGATTATTTTAAAGAACAGATAAATTTGCATCTAAATTGATTAATTAGTGTGGTCCTGTATGTTCTTGTATAGCCTTTTTTTATTCCCCAACCCAATTTACAGCTGTTCCCCCTCCAATTCTATTCCCCTTTCCACTACTAAATTAAATAGGGGGTTAATTAAAAGAAGAATATATGATTTGCAAAGAAGAACTATTGCATATAAGGAATACAAATCAGGGTTTTGTTCCTTCATAAGAAAAGTAAAATAACCTAACCTTTCTAACCCTACTTTAAAAAAAATGCTTTGACATACCAAAGTTTAGCATTTAACAATGTTAAATTCACCAAAAACAGACCTGCAAGCTAGTAGGAAATAATGCCATATGACAAACCCTGACCTTAAGATTCCTACTACACCCACAGATGATGCCTTAAAATTATTTTTTCTAAAAAAATGCTGAACTCTTGCAAAATAATGGCATTTTTATGAAATACGTTTGTGTTGCCATATAAAAAGTTTTATACGTACTTGAGATGACACGTAGGATTTTAACACTATTGCTGTTGTATTACTATTAATGTACTACTAGTGGTAGTAATAATAATAGTATCACAATATTATTTGGTGCCTCACATGCCATCATGTGAGATTGTGTAATGATGTCTACCATCTGAAAACATTGTGATGTCATATGTATTCTTACTAGCCCTTTTCAGTTCTGTTGGAAGAGCAAACTGCCATTTTCCTAGGTAGAAAGGGAAAACCTTTGGAGGAACTTGTTACTGTACTCTTATTTAGTATTAGAAATAATATATAGTTACTAAAGTCAATCAGTTGTGGGCAAGTGATAAAGGTTTGTTTCCAAGTGATTAGAAGACAGCTCATATAGTTTAATTTTTAGGACAGAATGAAGTTTGTGAATTTAATGAAAGAGTGTAGAATTAGAAGGCTGAACAAATATGAAAAACAATATGTAGATTATTATAGGTATCTAAGCTTAGCAAATTAAACTGAAGTCTTCAGAAGACAAAAGATAAAAACATTGTGTTTTAATGGGACATTGTGCGTTAATTAATTTTTGATACCTTCTAATGAATCTTTCATCACAACCATACTACAAATTCCCATACTTAAAAGTTCATTTCAGAACCCAATGACTTCTATGGAAATTAGCTAAATTAGTCTGTTATAGAAAATACAGTTGTTTTGTGGCATGGTTAAACTCTGGTCCATAAACATTTGTCACAGTAAATTAGTCTTTGTATCACTTTATGGTCTGCTACTGTCATAGTGATGCTCAGAGTTTTCATTTAGTTGGGGAAATATTTAGAAACAATATCAATAGGACTTGAATTTCTCATTAGGCTTAGCTGGACCAAAATAAATGGAAGTAGGGGAAAGTAAATTACAAATTTAAGTAGACCAGGAAAATAGCCTTATAGTATGCAAAGACTACTAGGTGCAAGAATTTTCCTGATGTACAGTTAGTCAGTACTGTCAGACTTTATGAAGACATGAGAAACTTTTAAGGAAATATTTATCTAAGCCTAAATTGTTAATCCCAGCCACTTTCTGATTTAAAACTCAATATCACTTGCTGCCCTCCTTTTCCTAAGGAAAAGAGAAGAAAATATACTAATCTGAGATACTATATTAATGGATGGTAGATTAATATACTCAAATAATTCAGTAAAAGGTAATTTTATGTGTATCAAGTAAGTTCAGATATGTTTGCACCCTTGCTTAGTTAGTATTAAGTGCAGCTGAAAGAATTGAACTAGCTGGAAATGTGCCAATCTTGACCAGTCAGGGATCTCAAGTTCTAACAAACGTTACCTCAGAAGTCCCTCTTTTATGTACCTGTAGGGTGTGGCACATGCTCAGGTGTCACAAAGCAATCTTGTTCCATAATTGCTGGCAAAAAAAAGTCCAGCCAACCCAACCAGCTCGCTTTTTGATGGAATTGTCAGTTATCAGCTGAGAGCAGAGTAGCTGTAGCCTGTGCTAGCCTGATTTTTGGTAGCAAATAAGAATTAAGGTGTCTTTTTTTTTTTTTTTGGCTGCCCTCTGTTTGGATTTTTTTTAATGAAAATGAAGTTATGTCAATTGATTTCACTGACTATAGTGCAGATGCCTCTGCTTACCATTTTCATCCCTTTTTGTGGATTTTATCTCAAAAGTTAAATTTTCCAGCCTATTATGCTCCCCCACTATACCCAGATTATACAGGGTTACATATACTTGTTTATGTTTTGTACATTTTTAAACTTTTAATTCTAAGCTTTCTAGAGTCTTGGGTGTTGGGCGGCCTATAAATTGAATGAATGAATGAAATACTTTTGATACAGCAAAAATTTTCTTAGAAACAGTAATCCTGACACACAGAGACTGCCTTACCTATTCAAAACAATTTATTGGAGTGTTTTCTGTGCTTTCTCCTTAGAACCCTAGCCCAATTCATGGACCTTTGCTTGTCAACAGTGATTTAAGCTCTTTTATTCTCAGGTTGCTCTTCTGCCTTTGCATTTCCTGTTGGTCTTTAGGTGTACTTTCTCCACTTATAAGTCGCCGCTACTTCCCAGTATTAGGAAGGGGAATTCCTGTTGTATGATGTAGCCCTTCTTTTTATGTTCAGTGGAATTTCTTTGTTCAGTTTTTTTTTCTTCTTTTTTGTATTGGCAGGCGAAATCTTACAAAATTGTCCCTCATCTTCAGTCATATGCTTGCAGAAATAAAGGCAATCTTCCCTAATGCCCAGTTCCAGGGTGATAACTTTCGCATCACAAAAGCAGATGCTGCAGAATTCTGGAAGAAATTCTTTGGAGAAAAGTAAGTATCAGCTATATCAGTATAGAAGGTAGTATGGTTGCTAGTGGTTATTTCTCTTGAACACCCTTATTATTTTTTATTTTTATTTACTCCATTCATGTAAATTGTATAATGTCATCACACAAATGAGATAAATTATTTGCAGTGAATTACAAATGGAATAAATACAAGAAATAAAGAAATACAACAAATAAATCCCTGCAGTGGTACACTTTCATATTCAGTGGAGATTGCTGAAAAACAGACATCTCCCCTCCCCGGTTAAAATGGACATTTTTGGTAATATTTTGCAAAGATTGGTTGATGCAAGCCATACTTGATAGCTTCTCAAGAATTGCTAATATGAAGCAGACTTAGTACTGTAAAAGCCTATGGGTTGAAGTTGTTTTACAACACAATGTAACTGCCCAAAGAAACACCCGAAACCTATTGCTTGTGAAAGCTCCTTTAATCAACAAACCTGATTTCCTTATATCGTATCTTTGAAGCTGTATTTGTTATAAAAAGTTAGTTTGAAAATGCTTTTTTTTTTTCATGCATTACTTGGGCCACTCCAATCAAACAAACTCTCAATACTTTACAGTAATCAGACTATACAAAATATTAAATACCTCTAATCCAATTAGCAGTGTATATTTCGGTATATATGAAAAAGAGCTCTGATATTCAATCGTATTTCAATTCTTTTATCTTATTAGGTTGTTTTGTCAAGTGATACTTCTTTATAAAAAAAAACAGCATTGAAAACTGACTCCTTGAATCTGTATGAGAAATATATGTAATTGACAGCTGCAGAACCAATATTCAGGGATTAGAGCAACTTTGTGTGATATATAATAGACAGGAAAATAAGTGTTTTTATTGTTACTAAATGAAGACAATGAAGAACATATAAATGAATTGTTTATTGTATTTAATTACAAGTGTTTATACATCATGTGTAGTTTACCAAAGGATTTACCTGGCTATGATGCAAATGTTGATATAGCAACTTGGCAATAGGTAGTAAAATCACAATAAGTGTATGAATTAAGTGAAAAACTCACTAAGAAGATATTGCCATTAACAACAGAATCTTGTGTAACAACTGTAATGTGACAGCAGTGTTATTTATAAATTTTAGAATAGTATATTTAAAAGCAATCATTTATTGAGAAGATTTTAAGGAGGAAAGGTTAGTTACAGTGAGAAGGAAGTATGAATAATTATCACTTGGTGGGAATCAAAACATGATAAAGCAGCAAAAAATAACAGGGAGAAACAACAAAAGACTTTGGCTCAAAGCAACACAAAATAAAAGTCAATCAATAGTAACAAAAGCAGAGTCATAAAATCAAAAATTAAAAGGAGCAGTTAATAGCAAATTACAACCATGTTTTCACCAGAGAATGGAGCAAATGTGTCTCCTTAGGGCATTCTGAATGTTTAGTCAATGAGTTAGTATAATGCCAAGCCTCATATGTCATTAATTTACTAATATAGTTAAAATAAAATAATACACACACACATACATATATAGTTAAATGTCATGCTAACACAAATATTAAATGTTGGAGTATGCACAGCATCTTGGCTGATGTAACTTGTCAGGGTGGGTGTGGCCCCATTCAGGGAGATACTTAATACCTTCCTTGAGGGGGGATCATTTTTCCTCTAGCTTAAATAAGTTAGTTAAAAGACCATTTAGAAAAAAGAGCAACAACTTTCTCTGATAAGGAAGATCTGGTCTTAAATTTACCACATCTGCCGAAGATAAATGAGAAGACAATGGCCTTGCAAATCCAGACACATCTGAAAGATAAATATGTAACTATTTTAACAGGGGTCCCAACCAGGAAATGGGAATAGAATTGCTTTGGTTTGTTAGTGGATAACCTCTGCCAGGAATTGCATGTGAAGTATATGCTTTTGCTAGCTTTGCTTGAACTTCTCAATGGCTTTTAGTAACATTGGCTGTGCTATTCTGAAATAAATGTAGGATTGAGGCTTGGAGGCACTGTTTTGCAATAAATCCATTTCTTTCTATCAGTTGTTTCCAGAAAGTGATGCTATACACTACTCTTTGACACCTTGGCTATTTGCCCATGATGTCCTACAGTACAGGTTTCCATCTTTTCTACTATGCTGTAGAGGTATTTCTGCTTTCTGGAACAAGGAACTACCAATATCCTAGTAGTCTCCAAGTATATTGCTCCTTGCCATCTAACTTTCAAATTAATTCTTTGGTTCTTGAATAAGTTCATTAATGGGCTTGATAAAGGTGAACAAGCTGAAATTAATCCAGGTAAGACAGAGGTGCTGTTAGTAGGTAAGCAAACAGGCTATAGAAATACAGGTGAAACTCGAAAAATTAGAATATCGTGCAAATGTTCATTTATGTCAGTA